ATGCTCGTTCACTGAAGTCTGTGAAGTTTAGCGGAGAATCCCAAAGCAGAAGGCTCATGCACCTCATGCATCTCCCATTATTCGCATCAACCCTTTTTTCGCACAAGTCAAAAACCACCTCAAGCGAGCGTAAAAACTTTTTTGTGAATTAAGGGATTTTTATTCGAAATTCTGCGTTTCCATCCCTCGTTTCTCATGCGATATTTCAAAATGCGCATTAAAATAGAGTGATGGAAACATAGCTATTGTCTTTTCATCAATGATCAATGATCATTGTCCATACATCAATGGAAAGCTTATTTATTCAGCTTTCAGATGATGTATAAATCTCAAAAATGACCTTTATGACTGGTTTTGTGGTCCAGAGTCACATATATCTCTTTATATATAAATAGCTATACATTTTAGATGCTATATTTAGATTTTAGATACATTTTAGGGTTCATCCGAACATGAAAAAATATACACAAGCTTTCACACACTTTCATCGCTAATGTTTGATGATGGTGATCAACATCAGTGATGATACTGTGACAGAGGGAAAACACACTATGTTTCATTCCTTCAGGATTCAGGAAAAGTAGATCAAAGTTGATCAGACCCTCACCACTTTTTTTCAGGTAACGGAAGCTAAAGGCAAAGTTACGCTGTCTTTCTACTTTTTTGATGCGCTTGGAGGAATTTATTCGCAAAATGCATTTCCATCTCCCATTATTCGCATCAACCCTTTTTTCGCACAAGTCAAAAGCCACCTCAAGCGAGCGTAAAAACTTTTTTGTGAATTAAGGGATTTTTATTCGAAATTCTGCGTTTCCATCCCTCGTTTCTCATGCGATATTTCAAAATGCGTATTAAAATAGGGTGATGGAAACATAGCTATTGTCTTTTCATCAATGATCAATGATCATTGTCGATACATCAATGGAAAGCTTATTTATTCAGCTTTCAGATTATGTATAAATCTCAAAAATGACCTTTATGACTGGTTTTGTGGTCCAGAGTCACATATATCTCTTTATATATAAATAGCTATACATTTTAGATGCTATATTTAGATTTTAGATACATTTTAGGGTTCATCCGAACATGAAAAAATATACACAAGCTTTCACACACTTTCATCGCTAATGTTTGATGATGGTGATCAACATCAGTGATGATACTGTGACAGAGGGAAAACACACTATGTTTCATTCCTTCAGGATTCAGGAAAAGTAGATCAAAGTTGATCAGACCCTCACCACTTTTTTTCAGGTAACGGAAGCTAAAGGCAAAGTTGCGCTGTCTTTCTCCTGGCACCCAACTGACGTTAACCGATGTTTGTCCAGCTTCAATTTTGATTGCAGATGGTGGATCTGCAGAGGGAACGTAGATAATACAATATTGTAGATCAGAAAAGGTTATATTGTGTCCTGTAACACACAACTGAGAATGCTGGGATTTTGGCTGTGCAGTTTCACCTCCATCCAGCAAGGTGGCGCCCTCCATTTCTATTGGCTCCCCATCACCAGCAGTGGTGAGTGCTCTGAGTTTGAAGTGGTATTGGATCCGAGGATTCAGACCCTTCAGTGTGAACTCATCAACAAGGGGCAGGTTGATGGATTCCATCAGCTGTGCGCTCGAAATTCCAGGCACAGCTAAACAGAGGACAGAACAGAATCCCATCAGAATGAATAAGACTTCACATTAAGCTTCCCTTTGTAAAAGTGCTCATTAATAACTGATAACTTGTTCTTAAATACATGAAAAATCACTGATATGCAGTGTTGGGGGTAATACATTACAAGTAACGTGAGTTACGTAATCAGATTATTTTTTTCAAGTAACTAGTAAAGTAATGCATTACTTTTTAATTTACAAGAAAATATCTGAGCTGCTTTTTCAAATAAGTAATGCCAGTTACTTTGTTTTCCCATGTATTGACTGGCAACTCTCGTGTTGCCATGTTGAGAGAAATGGGGAGTAAGTGCAGAGGCGTTGTGTGCGCTGTGATGTTACTGTAGTTCTAGACTAAATATGAACATTATTTACTCTTCTCCACTC